GCACTGCTCGGTGATCCCACAGTGAATGTACGCGAAGCGGCCATACAGACGCTCGTCGAGATATACAAGCATGTGGGGGATCGCCTGAGGCCAGATCTGAGACGTATCGAGGATATGCCCGCCTCCAAGCTGGCCCTGCTCGAACAGAAGTTCGATCAGGTCAAGCTGGAGGGTCTGCTGTTGCCCTCCGCCCTGCGCAATTCCAATGGCAATGGCCTGGACGAGGCGGACAACATTTCGCTGCGGGATCGACCCACAAAAATCGTGAAGCGACAATTACACTCGGCCACAACGTCTACGCTGCGTCCAAAGCCAAGTGCCCACGACATGGCCGGCGACGCGGGCGCCGTCACGATGGACATATTTGAGGCCAGCTTTGAGCAGGTGCCGCAACTGACTATATTCCATGCCAAGGACATGGATGATATATACAAGCAAATATTGTTAATCATTAGCGATAAAAATGCCGACTGGGAGAAGCGTGTGGATGCGGTCAAGAAGGTGCGCTCATTGCTGCTCATCAATTACCAGGCACAGCCGCAATTTATGGTCGTGCAGCTGAAGGAATTATCGTTGGGCTTCCTGGACATACTGAAGGAGGAGCTGCGCTCGCAAGTGATACGCGAGGCGTGCATCACAATCGCGTACATGTCCAAGACGTTGCGCAACAAGCTGGACGCCTTCTGCTGGAGCATACTCGAGCAGTTGATCCAGCTCATTCAGAACTCGGCCAAGGTGATTGCGTCTGCCTCGACGCTGGCGCTCAAATATATTATCAAATACACACATGCGCCCAAGCTGCTTAAGATCTACACGGACACACTAAATCAGTCCAAGTCGAAGGACATACGCGCCACGCTCTGCGAGCTGATGGTGCTGCTCTTCGAGGAGTGGCAAACCAAGGCGCTGGAACGGCATGCGATCATCTTTCGCGACACGCTCAAGAAGTCGCTCAGCGATGCGGACAGCGAGGCGCGGCGGCACTCGCGCCTGGCCTACTGGGCGTTCCGGCGACACTTTCCCGATCTGGCGGACCACATCTACGGCAGCCTGGACATAGCCGCACAGCGTGCGCTCGAGCGGGAGCGCGATGGCGGCGCCTCGAATGGCAGCAGCAGCAGTCAGCAGTCGTTGGACTCGCGGCGCACGGTGGCCACATCGCGCATTGGACGCACAACGACCGCATTGCAGAAGCCGTCGCCCAGCATGCGCTCCATTTCGGCGGTGGACACGGCGGCGGCACAGCGCGCCAAGGCACGTGCCCAATACACGCTCTATTCGCGCCAGAAGAAGCCGGCGGCGAGCCTACAGTCATCAGCTGGCGGCGGCACAGCTGGCTCTGGCTCATTGCCGCGTCCGCGTCTCAATTCACATAGCAACAGCGGCGGCGGCGGCGCCCACCAGACTGTCTCGCCGGGCACAGCGACGCCCAGCACACGGATCGGACGCACACGCGCCGGCGTCTCACAATCGCAGCCCGGCTCGCGCTCCACCTCGCCCAGCACAAAGCTGCGCGATCATTATGGCATGGGCAGCTATTACAGGGGCGCCACAGGAGCCATACCCAAGAAAGCATCCGGCATACCGCGCAGCACGGCCAGCTCCAGGGAGACGAGTCCCAATCGCTTGGGCGGCGGCGGCGGCGGCAGTGGCATAATGAAGCGCAGCATCTATTCAACGGGCTCCAGTGCGAGACGCACACCCGAACGCAATAATCCCGTGCGCAGCACAGCCGCATCACGTATGCTGGCGCAATCGCGCGAGGCGGAGCAATCGCTGGGCAACAATGATGCAGAGACGCCAGACTTCATTTCGGGCGACTTTATGCGCACGGGCGGCATACGCATGGGCCGAAAGCTGCTGGGCCGCGACGAATCCGACGATATTGACTCAGAGGCCAGTTCGGTCTGCTCGGAGCGTTCCTTCGACTCGAGCTATACGCGCGGAAACAACTCCATGTCGAACTACTCGCTGAGCGGCTCGCGCAATCGCCTCGACTGGAACAGCCAGCGGGCGCCGTTCGACGACATAGAGACGATCATACAGTACTGCGCCTCGACGCACTGGTCGGAGCGCAAGGATGGCCTGATCAGTCTCACCCAGTATCTGGCCGACGGCAAGGAGCTGACGCAACAGCAGCTGCAGTGTGTCCTGGACATGTTTCGCAAAATGTTTATGGATACGCACACTAAAGTCTACTCTTTGTTTTTAGATACGGTCACCGAGCTCATCCTGGTGCATGCACCCGAGCTCCACGACTGGCTGTTCATATTGTTGACGCGCCTGTTCAATAAGCTGGGCACCGATCTGCTCAATTCGATGCACAGCAAAATATGGAAGACGCTGCAGGTGGTACACGAGTATTTTCCAACGCAGCTGCAGCTCAAAGAGCTGTTTCGCATCATTTCGGACAATACGCAGACGCCGACAACCAAGACACGCATTGCCATTTTACGTTTCCTCACCGATCTGGTCAACACGTACGGCAAGAGCAGCGATTTTCCCAGCGATCAGACGCAGAGCTGTGAGCGCACCGTGCTCAAGCTGGCCCAAATGTCGGGGGATCACAAATCGATTGAGCTGCGCTCCCAGGCTCGCCTGTGCCTGGTGGCGCTCTACAATCTGAATACGCCGCAGATGACCAAGATGCTGGCCGCACTGCCCAAGGGCTATCAGGATACGGCACGCCTGTGCATTCAATCGAATCTACGGCGGCAGAGCAGCGGTGCCAATTCGCCGAGCAGCTCGCCGCTGAGCAGCAGCAGCCCGAAGCCGTTGCAGAGTCCCAGCGTGGGTCCGTTTGCCTCGCTCAATATGCACATGAATTCTAGTCCACGTTCGCGTCAATCCTCTGTGGAGCAGGAGCTGCTCTACGGCTGCTCCGAGCTGGAGGTGCAGCACAATATACAAAAGACCTCCGAGGAGATACGTTCCTGCTTCGCTGGCGGCCAGTATCAGTCGCTGGCGCCCAATGGCTACAATGGCCACCATCTGCAGTTCGCCTTGGATCAGCAGCAGCATCAGCAACAGATGACGGCGCAGCAGGACTCGCTGTCGTCCAACTCGAAAACGCAATCGTCGGCCAACACCACGCAATCGAATACCCCGGAATCGGCCACCATGCGATTGGACACGGCAGCTCCGCCGATGCAACAGCCAACGCCCAAAGTATCTCTGACGATCGCCACGAACGGTGAACTAATACTGCCGGGTAATCTGCACGAGAGCGAGGTGATGCGCGTCGCGCTCACGCTCAACAAGGATCAGCCCGTCGAGCAGCTGCAAACGGCGCTCAACAATTTGGGCATCTGCATACGCGGCGGCAACTGCGAGCTGCCCAATAAGCATTTCAAGTCCATAATGCGCATGCTGCTCCATATGCTGGAGGCGGAGCATACGGACGTGATCATCTCGGGCCTGCATGTGCTGAGCAAAATTGTGCGCAGCGACAAGATGCGCCACAACTGGCTGAACTTCCTCGAGCTGATACTGCTGAAGATCATCAATTGCTATCAGCACAGCAAGGAGGCGCTGCGCGAGATTGACACCATGATACCCAGGCTGGCGCCCGCTCTGCCCCTGGATTTGACCATTAACATTGTCAATCCGGTTATAGCGACGGGCGCCTTTCCGGCCAATCTGTGCGCCATCAAAATCCTGCTCGAGGTGACCGAACAGCATGGCACCGAGATCACAGATGCCCATTTGGACGCCGTCTTTCCCAATCTGGCGCGTTCCGCGGACGATGTGCAGTCGATGGTGCGCAAGGCGGCTGTCTTTTGCATTGTCAAGCTGTATCTCGTGCTCGGCGAGGAGAAGCTCAGTCCCAAGCTCTCCGCCATGAATCCCAGCAAGGTGCGTCTGCTAAAAGTGTACATTGACAAGCAGCGCAACTCGAGCAATTCGGCCGGTGGCTCCACAAAGAACTCCTCGGCGGCCTCCTCCTCATGATTGCGAGCCGGCGGCACACACACACACAGGGACACGCCCACACACAAACACAAAGACACCAGCGCGGCTTTGTCTCTTAGCTTATGCAAAAAGTGAAAAGTTAATTAAAACAACAACAAAAAACTGCAACAACAAACAACAAAACAACACACAATTGATGATATATAACAATATAGAACACACTAATTATTTATATATATAAAAAAAAAACGAAAGAAAAGAAAAAAGAAAACTAATTATTACTGATAATAAGCATTAAGCAATGCGACGATGCTGACAAAATCAATAATTGTGTAATTGTTTATTATTAATACACGCAGAGAAAGTAAACAACAACAAACAAATAATTGTACCGACAGGCACAGAACAAACTATTTATATACGTCATTAACAAAAACAAAAAAAAACAAAAACAGGAAACAAATTTAAATAAAAATTCAAATCTTGTAGCCAACAGTCTCTCTCCCAACACACACACACACACACAGTCTCTGCCCAGTTTTGATGCTTTCTATTATTAATATAGTCACTTATCCGTATAATTTCCTTTAGTTGTATAAGTCGTAAAAGGAACAGTTGTTTTTTTATGTACGCTAAATTATTTTTAACGTCGTCCTGCCGTCATTCTGTTTCATTTCCGCTTCTCGATACAAGAACTCAATTCTATTTCTTTTTTACAACAAAACTATTTTTGTAATTAACTTAAAACACACACAAAAACAATAATAACAAACACTTTTAGGTTATGTAATAATATTTATAAATTAATTGAAAAGAATAAAAACCGTTCAACTAAAGAAAAATATAACGAAAAAAAACGCTCCCAATATATAAACACCATATGCTGGCTTTTCTCTTGGGCGCAAATAGAAACATTTGACTTTGATTTGTTTTTTGTTTGTTTTTTATTATATTTATTTTGTTGCTCCATAAAATTTAAACGTTCAAATATGGTTTTTATGTACACAAGAACTTAATTTTAGCTACATGTATATATATATATATATAATTTTATTTACTTTACTTTTTTTTTCGTTTTGTTTTCTTCTTTAACTTTGAAAATATTTGATCATAAAATGTCAACACTACGAAGTAGTTTTTTTTGTTTTGTTTCTTTGCTTGTGATTAATTTAATTTGTTTAATTAACAACTAATTGTATTTTTTTTTTTCGTTTGCAATGGCTTTTCTATGCTTTGACTAAAAAACATTTTTGAATGTTCATCGATGTGTGTTTCTTGGAGTTTTGGTTGTGCTTTTTTTCTTAAAATTTCGTTTCGTTTGGTTTTTGTTTATTTTTTGGGCCCTTTTGAAACCTGAACTGGTTGTTACACATAAAACTGATGGAATTTTTACAAATCTCATTAATATAGTAGTTTGCATTTTTTTTTTCGTGAAACTAAATTAAGGCACTTAAATCGAAATGAACTCGAAAATCAATAATTGCATTAATTGTTAGAAATTAGAATTTGGACAAGTACAAAAAAAAGTGCACGGTGGTTATTTTATAGAGTGTAAGCTTTAAGTGCTTCGCTTTGGTATGCCGATCGATCTAAACTTACCTTAGTAATGTTCTAATCTCTTGTATATAATTAACTAAAACGTAAATACCCTATAAAAAGTGTACTCGCATTAAAGTCATCCTTTTCAATGGCACATCTTTTACTAATTATAACTTGGGCCTAGGCTAGAAAAAAACCGACAACTTAAGGTTTGCAAAACGAATTTATGAATACCCTAACACACGAGTAGAAGTAAAGGGTAGGAAGAGTATCAACGAAATGCATTGCTCTACGGTGTATGTACAGTGGGACAAAGTTGTCAACAGGCGCGCACAATTGTTCGTTTTAAAACATTCAACTACTTAAGTTTAGTTATATTTTACAATTTGGCCTGTTTTGGTTTTTTAAAATGAATTTTGCACGCAATCAACGCCAGCAATGCCCGCAATAAATACTCTACATCTGTGGCGGGCATTGCCGTATTTTGACCGAAAAAGGCACACACAGAGAGAATTTTAAATGACAAACGACTAGGACACAGCTACATATACATATATCTAACGACTATATAACTATGCATGTGTGTGTGTGTGTGTGTGTGTGGCTTTGACTAGTAGCCATTGCAGCGTATTTCGCCGTAGCGCGTTCTGCTCGCACTGTAGGCCGCATAGCCGTAACGCTCATACGCCGCGTAGTCCGGATACGGATACAGCTGGCCACGCATACGACCACGCGACATCTGCAGCTGGCTCGGGTAGCCGTAGCCTTGTTGCTCCTCGTACGGCCAGTAGTGTTGCATGCCACCCGCCGCATTTGTGGCATCATAGTAATAGGCACCATGGCCGCCGCTGCCGCTGCCGCTGCCGTTTGTGGCATACTCCTCGGCCAGCCGCTCGACGAGACTCTCGGGCGTTTGCAGAAACCGCTCGGAGAAGCGGCCTATTTCGGTGGAGCCAAACGCCTGCTGGAAGCCAGGCAAAGGCTTGATGTCCTGCAAGTAAGAAATAATTGATTCGTTCATAATTTATGGTAATGCTCTGTTTTGGGCTGAATTTAAGTAATGAGAGTTCTGAAATTGAGCTGCGCTGCGCTTCGAACCAGCCTCCCGCCCTTAGGCGTGGCTTGTAAACATGACCAGGCCTTAGTTCAAAACTTGGTTTTTCATAAATATATATTTAAGTTTTAAGTCAAACAAATCAATTTTAAAATTTGCAACTGCCCGCTGTGCTGAAAATATTGCAAGACATATATATTTTCATAAGCAAAATGCGGGCTAAAATTTAGCTTTTTTTCTTTTTGCAAATTTCGAAACTTCATCAATTGCTAGAAAAGCTGAATGAAATAATGCACAATACAATTTGAAAACGCTTTTTACATAAATATTTAAATTATTTCATAAACAGCTTAAAGAAAGTTGCAATAATATAAAAAAAGCTAGATGGAAGAAACTAGCGAAAATAAATTCAAACATCTTTTATTTTTTATGTTAACCCATAAATCATTCACAAAATAATGTCAATGCGCTTCCAATATTAAATAAAAATAAATAATTATTAATTTCTTTAAATATTAAAGTCGCGGCTTTTTAACATCTTCAATAGTTATGAAGTTAATTGTGAGGATATTAATAATAATAACAATAATAATAATGTTAATAAACATAAAAATTTATTAGAAAAAAGTGCTCAAATTAATATATTCAAAGGACAGATCAATTGATAAGCTAAAAAACATATATTTAAAAAACATTCTTTATATTTTATGCAAATTCAAGCGTCGAAAACCTAGGAAATTGGCTCTGCTGCTGTAAAGGGGGTGGCGTCGGGCAGGGAGGGGGGGATAACATTTTAAAACTGGAATTTCACTTGACAGTTTGAGCTTTTGTGTTATTTGTTCACATATTATATTTGCTTGTGTATGTGTGTGTGTGTGAGTGTGTGCGTCTTACCCTTATTTGCTCCCGCACCGTGGATTCCGTTGCTTCCACATTCTCAGTTTCCGTTTCCCTTTTGCTCGCTTTGCGTTTTGATTTCTTGCTCGGAATGAGATCGCATTCGATGATGCGATTGTTGTTGTTGTTGTTCTGGTTGTTGTTGTTGTGGTTGCTGCTGCTGCGATTTTTGTGCGTCGCATTTCGTTTGCTGCTGACTGGCTGCTGCTGCTGTTGCTGCTGCTGCTGCTGCTGCTGCAGCAGTGGCGCCAGCGCAGGTGGCACAGTGCTTGCTGACAGTCCGTAGCCCACAGGCGAGTTCTGCGGCGCGGGCGGTGTGCGCGGGCGACGCAACGTTGGACTCCAGCTGTGAGTTGTTGCTGCTGCTGCTGTTGCTGTTACCGCCTGCTGCTGCTGCTGTTGGTGTTGGTGTTGCTGCAAGTGCAACAAGAACAATAAAATCGATTTAGTTTTTTAGCTGCAACGCTGCTCGACGGGGCAAAAAAGTTGTTACGCTCAAGTGGCGGCCACTTGAAACTTGCCAGCGCAGGTGGCCCGGCTGTGCTGAAGCCCTAGCCAGCAGGCGCGTGCTTGCTGCTCATGTTGTCAAGCGGCGGCAGCAGCAGCAACCCCATAAGGGGGCTAACAACTTCTCCCAAAACCTCCCTGCCACTCTCACACACACACACACACACACGCCCACCCACACAGTCGCATTGAAGTTCAGCGCAGCCCACAAAAATCAATAGGCGCCCGTTTGCGGCTGCTGCTGCTGCTGCTGCTGTTACAGACGAGGCACCCTGTAAACAGGCTTCCGACAAAAGAGCGCGCTCTGTTAATGCGCACTCTCTTTTGCGCTCTCCCACTCTCACGCTCTGCTATTGAGGCTGCTGCTGCTGCTGCCTAGAAAGCCGGTCGATGGAGCTAAACGCATTTCGCTTTGGGTCTTCTCTTTACAGTCGGCTGCGACTGCGGCTGCGACTGCTGCTGCGACTGCTGCTGCGGCTGCTGCTGTAACGGGACATCTCTATTGTCTGTGCTCGTTTGTCATTATCAGCCCGTCTTTTTCTTTCTTATTTTTTTGGTTTGGTTTTCGGCTGCTTTGCCCTAATTTGTCTGCGTTGCCCAAACGAGCTGCTGTCACCTGTCTGCCGTTTAATTAGACAGCACCCCGCTGTCTCCTTGCGCCCCCCTGCTTGCTGCAGTTTTAATTTGCAATTTTGCGCCAATCTTGGCATAACTTACCCCAGCTGCATCCTCGTTGATTTGATTAGTTGCTGGCTGCTGCTCGGCAATATCCTGTGGCGTTGTTGTCGCCTGCTTGTTGGGCTTCGTCAAATTGATTTCCGCACGCCTCACAACTTCCGGCTGCTCGGCGCTCGCCGCCTTATCAATGTCATTCACAATAGGCGTTGCTGTTCGCGGCGACGCTGACATCGACATCGACGTCGACGTCGCTGCCGTCGCGCTTATGTCATCTGGAAAATTAGCAAGCAAAAAGGCGCCCAGGCAGGCAACGTGTGTTAAAAGAAAATCAATAAAGATTGCTTCTTTCTTTGTTTTTTTTTTTTCATTTTTAGTTGTATATTATTTGTCAGGCCAGGCGTCTGTAATTATTTTGTCATGCGTGTTGGCGGCCATCAAGGGTTAAAAAGACAAAGGTTCGGGAACAGGTTGACCAACGCGAGAGAGACGCGATTTTTTTTTCTTTTTTTATTAGTTTTTTTTTTGCACGCGCTTATCAAATTGTGATATCGTTCTTCGCTTCGGGGGTAGCTAAGAGAGAGCGTCGACAAGCCAAAGAGCGAGAGAGAGAGAGAGAGCGGCACATCAACATGCACTTGTTGAACGTATCAAGCACACACACTCACACACACGCGCGCGTGCATGTTTATCGGAGTATACAAAATGATAGCATGCTTTTCAGCGCATGCGACTGAGCCTGCAATGTTTACGTATTTTTGTTGTGGCCTGCGATATTCGCTTCGAGCTGTTGTTATTGTAATGCCATTCGCGTCAAACAAATCAATTATAATCAATTTAAAGGCCGATGGTGGTCAGTGTATATGTGAGGGCAAATGAAGAGAATATTGTATTAAATATGATAAATTCAATATTTGTTAGTTTGGAATTCACAATTACAAATTAAAATTGAATTAAATTTAAAAAATTATTGAATGTGTCTTTATAAAACTAAAGAATATTTATAAATTGATTAAAATTTAAGGGAAATTAAACGCGTTTTAGACCGCAAATTGCAATCTTTGCATTTAAATACTAGCTTTAACTTTCTTGGGCTTGATTTGAGTACTCCTAAAAAAGATGTCTCATATTGAATACTATATTTATGCCAGCAATAGTTGAAGAGTTCGTTTTATGGCAAATCCTTGTTGACTGTTTGTTTTTGCATGCCTCTGTTGATTCGTCATAACGGACATTGATTTTTGCGTCAATGCTGGATACCTCTACCGCCAGCAAATATTGCAAGACCGGAACCGGGCTGCTCCCGGGGTGTCTCCTGTGCGTCGTGCTGTATGTGTTGGGCAAACAGCAGCTACAATAACCCACCACAGAGCGTTGTAAAGTTCATTTACATGCTCGGCTGTGATGACATTTCACGCACACATGCTCAACTTAAACACCCTCGCAACAGCTTAAGTATACGCGTGTGTGTGTGTGTGTTCAAGTTGAGCGCCCATTGATAAGGACGGCATTGCCCACAAGTCTCGTTTACATTAGGAAATATTTAGAAAAGCTGTCAAATGTTGGGGTCGGGATCGGGCCTCTGTGTGCCAGTCTGTGTGTTTGTGGAAGCCACACACTTTACACCTTCCGTATCCAGTGCTGCGCTGTGTGGGTGTTCATTCTCTCTCTGTGTGAGTGTGTGTGTGTGTGTGTGTGTGTGTTCGCTTGTGCCTGACGCGACATCAGAAAAGTTAACTTATTGATTTGCACACACGCCCCTGCCAAAAAGTCAAATCAAAAGCAACTCATCAAGAGGCACAGCCCGAGCTTCGTCTCAGCCCAGTCAAGCGGTCGCCCACCCTTTGCGTGCCTAAATAGACAGCTAATTTTGAAGTCCTTTAAAGCGACATGACGTAGGCTCGTCACAGCTACCTCCAAGCCAACCGCGCCGGGTGGCACAGCTTGTGCTAAGTCGGGCCGACAGGAAGCGGAAGCATTTCAGCAGTTAACCAAACGCTGATTGGTTGAGTGTTTGCAAAATGTCGACTCCACGAGGCGGCTGAGACTGACCGTTTGTCGTGTCAAATGGCTGCAAATGCCTGACGGACAGTTGCCTGTCAGTGCTTGGCGCTGACGAAGCTGGCGAGGCTGACGGCCGCGTTGATGGCGGCTCGAATGGTGGCTCTTTGCATTCATTTGCATGCAAAATCAAGCATACGCAGTGGGGTACACGCAAAAAAAAAATAACACCGCCTGCTGCTACAGTGGAATATTTGATAGTGTTGACGTTTATAATTGAATAAAAAATGTGCTGTACAAATTTTATTTACTCAATTAATTTTGATGTATGGAATGTCATATACTGGCCTGGTTGTGGAATCTCTATCGGAACTTGGTCTTACTGAGAGTAAGCGTACATTATTACATTCTGCTATATTCTATGTTTAATGTTACTGCTAAATAATTTACATGCATCTGAAAGCTCTCTTTGAACTCGATCCGGCTATGTGAGTATCAGCAGTAACATTTTTGCATTTGTTTATGTTAACTGACAACTGCTGCCAAACATTACTGTTAAAATGCGTCTGTAGTTTTAATAGGCTTACTTTACAGTGCATGTTACAGCCCTCTCTCTCTCTCTCTTTCACTCTCTCTCTCTCTCTTTCTCTCTCTCTCTCTCTCTCTCTCTCTCTCTCTCTCTCTCTCTAAACTGAATACTAGCAATAACCGTCCTATATTTACTGCTATTAATTGCAACATTACATTTTATTTTACAATGTTGACTGAAACTTAACAGAAAATGTTAAAGCTCTCTCAAAACCTGATCTTGTTATGTAGTCTTCAATTATTTTGTAAATGTATTAAGCCGTTATGCTGTTAACATGCATCTGTAAACTGAATTGGGCTCCTTATGTTAACCTTCCAGTTAATGTTAAAGCTCACTGTAAACTGGATCTTGTCAGCGTTAACATTCGCCTATAGTTATTTACTCTGTTAACAATAGTTTATTTTAACTGGTTTCCACGGTGCCAAGGTCCGTTGCCCACTTTACAGCTGCTGTCGCTTCGTTAGCAAAGCCAGCGGCGGGGGGAATTAATACTTGTTACATAATCTAGTCTGACATATGTTTGCATAAATTTACAATGATTGCCCCGCCCACCGGTAGCGCCCTTTGCATAATTGTAAATTAAATGGAGCGTAAGGCAACTGACAACTTACCGGGCATTATGGGGGGCGTGGCAACAGCCGTTGCCTTGTGCTCCTCCTGCTGTTGCTGCTGCTGCTGCTGTTGCTGCTGCTGCTGCTGCTGTTGTTGTTGCTCCTCCTCGTAGTCCCTGCCATCGGCGGAACAGTGATACGAGACACAGGACGCTGACTCCACAGACATATTAACGGGATACTCGCCACTGTAGACGGGCGTGCTCTGGCTGCTGTCGCTGCGGGCGCGTGTGCTGCAATTGCTGATGCCGCTGTCCGTGCCGGTGGCACTGATCATTGGCGGCGATGTGGTCAGCCGCTGCGAAGGCGATGTGGCCTCCGCTTCGTGCTCCAGCTTGATCTGTTGCTCTGGCAGCGTCTCCTCCAGCTTTGGCTGCGCTGCCGCCGCCAGTTGCTGCTGATGCTGCTCCGTATAGCTGCGCAAGGGTTCCAGATAATTGGGTGGCAGCACTGTGCGATTGGGCGCCGGCGTTGTGGAGCGTCCGGGCGGTGTATAGTGTGTGGGCGTGGCTGGCTGATAGGCAGCAAAGCCACGTGCCTGTCCATAGCCGGAAGCACTGTAGAGCGCAGGCGCGGGCTGCTCATAGCCACCGCTGCTGCTCGGCTGCTGTGGCTGATAGGCGTGTTGCATGTGCGGATGTGGGCGTGGCGGATAGTGTAGCACACTGGAGGGTATCAGCTGCTGGCCAGCGGCCGTGAACATGCCCGCATGCTGATGATGCGACGGCGGCTGACTATAATGCGGCGAGGCATACGGCGCATACCGATAATAGCTGGGCATATAGGAGCCAGCGCCGGGACTGCCATAGCCATAGCCATAGGGATTATAGGCGCCGCCATAGCCACTGCGATAGCCGGGCGGTGCATAGTGCGACATGGCTGCCTGAGCCTGAGCCTGGGCCTGGGCCTGCTCGTAGTAGCTGGCGGCGTATCTGTCTGACATGCTTGAGGAAGGGATACAATCTAGTGGCCACTTTCGTGCAGCAACAATAATAACAATGGCAAAGTTGGCTGCCCCGTCCCGTTTGTTGCTGTTGTTGTTGTTGTTGTTGTGGAGGCCATATTGCGTTGCCTTCGCTGTGTGGTCAATGGCGAGGATATCCTCTTACATGTGTCTATTATTGATTTTCTTGTGCTTTGCCTTACGTTTCTTTTTTTTCTTACGATTTCTTCTAGCAAATCCCTTTCAGCTCGAGAAGGGTGCGTGTGTCCTTTGTCCTTTTATTTATGTTGCCTGCAAGTGGACAAAGTCAAATGTAAATTATGTGAGCAGAAACTGTGCCCAGGTATTTGACTGGGCTGCACTTAAGCTCTGACTATTTAATAGTTGGTTGTGGGCCAGCCTAGCAGCTGGATAGCTTGATAATGCGTTAATTTGCACACATTTTGTGTTTCTCTATGCAATTTAATTAATGTTGAACAATAATATTTAATGTCTGAGACACTAAAGCCGCAGGACATGACGCCCAAGGACATACAGCAGCAGACGCTGCTCGAATTAACATCCGAGAAGCTGCTCCGGCATCGCATTAAGTTGTGAATGGCCATCAAGTAGATACAAATTGCATTTTAAGTGCAAGCCCCTCAAAGTATGCTCTGCAATTTTAAGCGACTATTTTGCCTGGGCTGAGCTCCTGACAGCTGCCAGTCACTATTCAGCTTTGTCAAGCAGATAAAGTGACTGGCATCTTTTGCCGGGCAGACGCTGTTAACTGTTAAGTTAACAGCATGTTAAAGGCGTGCGGGTCTGTTAAAGCGGGTTTTTGTAAGGTTTTGCTTCTAGGGTTAGCTCTTACATGCAACTACTGATATTTCTTCTATTATGTATAAGATCTTTTGTATTCTAAGGGTTAGTCATATAAATAGAGCTAGAGATAGGTTAAAATAGTGGAATATTGCATATTTAAAAGCAGATTAAGAAGAAGAGCTACGAGAAGTAATTGCTGTAGCCACAGATATGCTATGTGCGTTGGAACTTTACGGCTGTTAAATAAGATGCGCATGGTGAGTCCACAAATTCAAAGTAACATCTTTTTTACTGCCCTCCTATGCGATTCTCAGGAATTCAAGTAAGTCTTACAAGTGTGCATGCTAATCATGCACATCGATCTAACTAAACTTATCGCTCGATCTAGCTCAATCTTAGTGAAATTACTCCTCTTTCTCCCTCTCGCATTCTCTATCTTTATCTCTTTCTCTTCCTATCTGTCTTTTTTATTTAATTTTTTTTCTCTTTCTAAGCCAGCTCTTTAACTAATTTTGTATTTCTCTTTTGCTTTCAGTGATGCGAATATGAGGAGATGCGAATTTCAGGTAAGTACATAATGACATATCAATTCATGTGCGAATAAGAATATATATAAAGACAGACTATCTCCTAGTGAAATATATTTTAAATAGAGTATTCAGAAATAGACCTTATCTGTGTGTCTATTCTCGTTCCTGTGCAGCTCTGACTGTTGCACTTTCCAGTTGAGTACATTTAAGCCAAATGCCTTGCTGTGCTCAACAAGATCAATAAACCGGGTAATAATACTGTTGATTAAGCACGATACAAATATTTAACTAAAATTCTCTCGAAGCATTTCGAGGTATTTGGAAATTTGAGGTGCATAAATGCAATTCCTGTGTTATGCATAAATGTGGTTGCATTGGGGCAATGTGTGCCTGCCATCGAAGATTGTTGATGGATGCAGTATAATGTATGCTGGGCAACGAAAACAACAACAAGCCACTCAACTGTGCGAGTGTGTGTGTGTGTGTGTGTGTGTGTGTGTGTGTGCATGTGTGCGTGTGTGCATTAAGATGAATGCACGAGAACCACAAGCAATTTGGCCGCACGCAAACCGTTAATGAGCCACGAAAGTGCATGCATGCATAGAACGAGAGAGCGACAGAGAGAGAGAGAGAGAGAGGGAGAGACTGACTAAGAGAGGGAGAGAGGAAAGAAGGAAAATGGAATATGAAGCGGCTGTCAGGAGCAGCAGCCGTAACCAGGCAGCAAATTCGTATGTATGTGTGCGTGGGAGCTGGCGATTGACGTGTGCCATTTATTGATTAATTAGAGTGTGTGTGTGTGTGTGTTTTTTTTATTTTGCAAAACTCAACCTCAACATTTTCGAAGGCGATTGATGAATTGGGTGCGACCGCTGCAATGGCAGGCAAGTTTATTGATTCGGCTCTTCTAATATCTTTTTTCTCGCGAATGTTGACTTTGAAGATGCCCTGCTGCTGGCCGCAAAACAAATTAGCAAAACAGTGAGAGCAGCATGTTGATAAGCAGGGTCAGGGGGCGCGGGATAACAGAGCAGCAACTCTATTAGCAGCCACGCGCTGGATAACATAATCAATGTAAACACGCGCTGCGAACTGTGAGCAGCGCAAGAGAGCGCCTGACCGGCAGAGAGCGCTGGCGAGAGAGCTTTTTAGGCAATTGAAACGGGTTATGTTAAGTGCGTGTGCAAGGCACAAACTGTAAACTGTAAATGAAATGAGCCTCGAAAATGTGTGAACGACTGCAATGGGGACTAAGGGCTAATACTCTCTCTCTCCCTCTCTCTCTCTCTCTTACGCTTGTGCGTTGCAAGTGAACAGCAGGAAACGGAAGCTGTGTGGCATGAGATGCTGCCTGCCTCTGTCTGTTTCTGAGTGTGTGTGTGTGTGTGCGCGTGTGGGTGTGTGTAACGTACTGTTTTGGGACAGCAACAGCCGCCCAGTTCCAGCGCATATAAATCAATAAAAACACACAGCAGCCACGCCGAATCGAGTCGAGTCGAGCTGACTGCTGGCTGCTGGCTTCTGCTCAGCGCAGCTTCATTAATGCTTGGCTATGCTCTCGACATTTTAACAGTTTTGTTGCCCAGCACTGATGCTAGTGTACACATACAAGTACAAGAAGTTACACACAAGCAGAGTAATTGTTACGTTGACGTCCTTTCTCGTACGTCAGAATATGCGAGCACCCTGGCGCACTTGAGCTTGCAAATATTGACAGTGCCTGAATGTATGCTGCAGTTTTTTCTTTTCTTTCAAAATGCAATTTTAATTGAGAGCTGCGTGCATGTGCTGTTATTATTGTTGTTGTGTTTTGACGTTATTCTTATTGATGCTATTCAATAATTGGGGCAAGTGCACGAAAGAGTGCAAGCTTTGAGTGTGCGAAAAACATAATGAGAAAGGGATTGACATTATTGTCTATGCGATTTGGGGCACCTAAATAAAGTAGAGCTGCTTTTTATATGCACAATTAAACCTATTTTGAATAAGGAAATATTAACTAAATTATAATTTAAAATTAATACTTACCAAAAATCACTTAGAAGTTAGCTTTCCACATATACACATAAATTGTTTATTGCAATTTTCGAATTTATTGTATTTAACAAACTTGCGTTTTTAATTATTCGCTTTCAATTGTAAGTTTTTCAATTCAAAATACCGTTATATTTGAAGTGTTGCGCATGAATTCAAAACACTTTTATTGTGAATACGCTCTACTCACTCTCTTCGCACTCTCACGCAAAATTCGAAGAGCGGCAACGCGGCAAACGATCAGAACTGCAAACACTCGTAGTCGCACTCGCACACATTCGCATTCACATTTACATTCACATTCACATACACATGGGCATTGCCAAGTGGCGTTGCCGACTGTTTAACCCTTGAATGTGATTGCGTTACGTATACGCTGCGTGTACGAACCGCGCCAAAGTCCAACGTAGACTGAAACGCGATACGGCTGGCGCGCTACCATTTATACACTGGCAGCCTCAGCGGTGTTGCTGTCGTACCCCCGAAAAATAATGAAGAAAAGCTGGCAAAAGACGGCGGCGAAAAAGCAGCGAAACAACAACAAAAAGGGGGGAGCAAGAATGAAAAAAAAACGGCACATTGGCTGTGCTGCACTGGGAACCCAGCGCAAACTGTGTGACCCGATTTGATGGGCAACCTGCCCACATACGCGCTGCTTACGGGGCGAGCGAGCTTTCGTTGGGTTCGCGCGTCTGAGGGAGGGAGGGAGGGAGAGAGAGAGAGCGAGCGAGCGCGCATTTGGCAATTGCAATGGGACGAAACTCGCTCGCAAATGTCATTTGTAAATTCACTTACTTTGCTTACGAATTAGAGCACAAAACAGAAACCGAACAAAAACAGAGCGTGCCAAAACAAGAACTAGAGAACATATCGCAAAATGCGCATGAGAAGGTGTCGGAAGAGAGCGAGTGCGCAGCCAAGCAGCAAATGCCTGCCTAGGGGTTTCCCTGGTTCAGTGCTAGTCATCTTATCAATGGGTATGTATGTGCCTGGTTTATTGATGTGTCCGGATAACACATTCCATAAAGTATAGCACATATCAAGGGGCAGATTACACTGAACGACACCTGCAATTTTGCCAAGTGACACTTGACCTATGACATTCGCCCTCTGGCCCAAAATGATACATCATTATATCTAATTGCCGGAAAAATAAACACACACATATATAGGCTCCCACACACACACACACACGCGAATACAAAAACATCACAGTCAATACGCGCCATTATTATTGATTAAATCTGGGAGAGAGCTTAAGTGTGCGCAATTCTCTCGCTCTTACTCTCTCTCTCTCTCTCTCTCTCTCTCTCTCTCTCTCTCGCCGCAGATGCACGTGTTGTGTGTTTTGCGGTTTTTACAGTCAACACGAAAGCCTCCAAAATATTGTGGGCGACGATGCGTCGGTAAAGAAGAAGAACAAGAAAAGAAGAAAAAAACGTAAACAAAACGTGCGCACGCAATGCTATTACACAGTGGGGTAGGGTGCAGCATAGATGGATGGTGAAATACCCAGTTAGCAATATAGTCAAGGGTGTTTTTGTTATTGATTCAGCAGACGGCATACAGGGTGTGAGATACCAACAATAACTTCCAGAGGCAGGATGCGAAAATAAGTCCCAAATCCCAAATTATTAAAAAAAATGGAATATTTACATTAAAAAAAAAAAATATATATATATAGTACATTTATAAAAAAAAAAATATATATATATATAGTACATTTATAAAAAAAATAAATATATATATATTTAAAAAAAAATTAATATATGTATATTTATAAAAAATAAAAATACATATAAATATAAATTAACAAAAAAAAAAAATATATATATATATATTTATAAAAGAAAAGAAACATATAAATCAGCGTTTATAAGCAACATTTATATGCATGTATTATTCCTTCATATTAGTTATATTTCTTATCTAAATTGATAATAACATCCAACACAATGTAACATTATTCATTATTTGGAGCAATTTGGTGTCACCTGCAGGCTTACCTGCACGCGCACTCTCCTTGTCAGCAGCCTTAACAGTCTTTAAATACAGCCAGCAGAGTGAACAAAAAAAACGTAAAACAATAAATGGGCTTCTGCATAACAAAATCAACTTCTAGCCGAACCAATGGGCACCCATGCAGTCACGCGTCCATTCCGTTTGACAGACCCAGCACCATTCGAAGCCGCAGCCGGCACGTGTGCAGACCATGTGCATGCAGCCACCTGGAAGCAAGTTCAGGTGAGAGGTTTATAAAAAGTCTGTGTGTTGTATAAGATGCTGTGCGGCTCACCGTCTCGCTCCGTGGGCGTGCGACATTTGGGGCAGGGTTTGGTGCTCACTTTGATTGTCACATTGCTGGCCTCTTCCCAGCGAGCCTCCGCCGCGCGCTGTCACGAGATGCAAAGTTGCGATTAAATTTAGCTGCGGGCGGTGCAACTTATGATACTTACATTTGGATCGACGGTGTATTCACAGGAATCGGGTGCGCTGCCGGTGGCGCCCTCGGGCAGACATTCGCCAATGTGATAGCCCTGCAGGCAGTTGCGACAGAACACATAGCCGCAGCCGTTCTGGCAGGTCACCTTGCGACAATCGGGCTCCACGAGCAAGCCCATGCCACAGCCCGGCTGTGGACAGAGCACACCGCCCGCCTGCAGAACAAACTCCTCGGTGGCGAAGCGCTGGTAACGCTCGTACTCCTCGCGTGAGAGCAGCTTGAAGTGATGGATCTCCTCGATGAAGGAATGCTCACAGCCTGCCGGACAGGGCAGTGTGTAGCCAAAGTCCGGATGCGGCATAAACTGGCGCTCGCTGAGACGCGAACGACAATAGTCGCGAAAGCAATCGATGCAGGTGACGTGCTGCGAGGCGCAGGGAAAGACCAGAACCGTGTCGCTACAAAGAGATAGAGCGTAAAAATAGGCAGCCAGGCGTTGCTGATGCGCTCACCTGACCTCCGTGCAGGCCAAGCAAGGCACATCTTTGATATTGTTCTTGATTAAATTTAAGGGCGCCGCGAAGTCCTTTTCCCCGCCCGAGACATGCTCCGCACACTTGAAGTAGAACTCGGCAAAGGGCGGATCGCCCGCCTCGTTGTCCACACAGGCGATTTCGAGACTCTCGCAATGGCCACGTATGCGTCGCGACTTGAGCACATCATCCCAGCACTCGGGATCGCGATGGACCGTGAAGGCGCCGCCCTTGCACAGGGCACACCTCACACGCAGCTTGCCCTTGCACAGCTTGTTGCACTGCCCGCAGTGGACAAAGAAATGTGCCTTGGCGCGAGCACGTTCTGCGAAGGTGCCCGATAGATAAACAATGATACGAGAATCTCCACCAGTTGCTCACCCTCGTCGGTGATGTTTAGACGCTCCTCGCTCTCCAGCTGCAGGTCGAGCAGCGTTTCGTTTAGCGGCTTGGACGGCTCCTCCGGACTAGACTCTTCCTCCATCAGCGTGCTAGCCTTGCGCTCCCGCTCCCGCTGCACAGGCGGACGCAGACGGATGGCGTGCAGCACACTTTGCTGGCCAAGATCGCATTGCTAATGGAGCACAGAATCCATTATTGTGATGCAGGAGAATTCTTGTGGGTGCTTACCTCGATGGTGGTCGCATCGCTCAGCTCCTTGCCCGCAAATATGATCTTCACCTCCTCCGGCTGGAGTCCCAGCTGTGGCGCCACCAGCTCCTTAACGTTTTTGATATCCCACTGCGGCTCCAAGTTGACGGACAGTGTGCGACCCGTATTTGTTTTCACGTAAATGCTCAGCGTGTGCGTTAATTTGCCACCAATTTGTAGCAGCTCCAGCATTTTGCGTACAAAAGCAGCAATAAAATTGAAAATAAAACTCATTTAAAGCCGGAAGAGATAAAATAACATAATCTAAATTGTACTATCAATTTTGTAACAATCACGGGTACTTTTCGGTATCTTGTCACACGACCTGTGATTATATATGAACAGTAGCATATGCGAAGCCACAATTCGTGCCTCGTATTTTAACGTTATTTAAATTTAATATTAATGCAGCATTTATTTAAATAACTATCAGTTGCACTTGCTTTATAACTTGTGCTGTAACATTTACAGTCACTGTTATTCAAATGTAACAGTTAGCAGCTGTTTCACTGCTGTTGTCACATTGAAACACTTACTCATTATACAACACCGAAACAGTCAGCTGTTGTCTTGCTCTGCCATTCGCTTGTCAACGTCAGCGCGTAGTTTGGCGCGGTAATATTAGAAATAGAAATATATAGATATCAATATATATATATTTATTTTGTGCTAGAGCTGAGTGTTAATATGACAGATTTCATGATAAAAGAAGTCAGTGGTGACTTATTTTCGGCTGGTCCAGAGTATGCCATGTGCCACTGCGTGGCCGCCGACTTGCGTATGGGCAAAGGCATTGCCGTTATGTTTCGGTAAGCATCTTATGTGGCTCATTTACAGCTAACGGAACTCTTTTATTGTTAGCAATAAATTTGGTCAAATTGCCACATTGCAAAAGCAAAACGTGCAGCCCGGCGGCGTGGCCGTGCTGGAGCATCAGGGACGCTACATTTACTACCTCATCACCAAGCAGAACAGTTGGGGCAAACCCACCTACCAGCTGCTGCACAGCTCCTTGAGCGCCATGCAACAGCATATGGCAAGTAAATAACCTTTGTTCCTTTAATAATTTAATACCCTGTGCATTTCCGAGCAGCTCGAACACAATGTGCGCAAATTGGCGCTGCCACGGATAGGCTGCGGCTTGGATGGGCTCAACTGGGCCAAAGTAAAAGACATGCTAGCCGAGATATTTTACGCAGACTCTACCGAACTGGTTGTATATAATTATGTGCCAGGTGCAGCCAAACAAATTAAATAAACAGGAACTGTTGTAAATTTGTTGAGCTCCTTCGAGTTACTGTGCCTGCTGTGGCGGCACATAGTTGTAAACTGTAATCTCCACATCCTCCCTTCCGAAGACCTCGTTCAATATGGCACTGACCTTATCCCACTCCAGGCCATCGATGCCACAGCCTATGCGTGGTATTGCCAGCTTATGGATGTCATTCTTGACCTGCAGCAGAAACGGGCTTTATAGCATAAACGTAGATCATAAGGAGACTTCGCCTTACCATGTGATCGCGCATCTTTTCCAGCGACGACTGCAGCGACTCGTATGTGGGCAGTGCCCAGCTCTGTGACTTGGTCACCAGATAGTAGATGTAGCGTTCGTCATCCTTCAGCACGGCCATCTCGCCGCTGCGCGCCTTCTGTGCCTCCAGCTGATCCACTTGGCCGTAGACCTCCTTGAATTTGACAGCTATGCCCGCGCCCATGGCCAGATCGGCGCCAACGCAATGGGCCAGCGAGTGGGTCTTCGGTGCCGAGAAGAGATCCCCGTTGATCTCTTGCAGCTGAAAGCCAGTCATCTTCTGGACAAACGCACGACGAAAGGCGACACGTAAATCTGTAAGTTTTGGAGAGTACATTTTCAGTTTGAATATAGACAGACTCACTATCACAGACATGTAAACTAGGTATATCTCTACGCAAAGCCAACTTTCGTTTATTGCCAGCCAGCAGGCGGTGTCTTTTATTTGTTGTATAATAAATACATATGTCAATTTCTTGTGCTCTCAACTTACCAAAACTCCTAACAACTATATAAGTAACGGTGCATTTGGTGCCAAAAAAAAAACCCCATGCAAACCCATTTCGAATGTTATAAATTAACAACTATTAATATATACAAAAAGGTGCCTCATCAACTTAGAAAGGCGTCTTCTCTCTGTGCAGCGACTGTCGGCTGACGCTGCGCGGCAGCTGCATGAGCTTCATGTGATGACAGGTGGGGCACATGACCTTTATGGTGTCCCTTTCAATGCTGGGCGGCTCGTAGAAGAAGGCAATTATGTCCACGTTGTCGCTGACGAACACCAGCTCCAGCAGACTGCGCACGCGCAGCCAGTCCAGACGATCGATGCCGCAACCCAGACGTGGTATGGCCAACTTGCTGACGCTGTGCTCACGCTGGCGGGAGAAGGCAAGAGGATTGGTTTAGCTATTATGATGGAGAGTGCAACTCGTTGGACTCACCATGTGCTCGCGCATGGCCAGCAGGGCGTAGTAGAGCGCCGTGTAGGTGCACTTCTCGTGGGCACGCTCCTTGGTCACCAGATTGTATATGTAGCGACCGCCCTGCTCCAGCACGGCCACGTTGCCCGTGTGCCGCTGTTGCCGCTTCAGATCGTCCACGTGCCCGAACTTGCAGCGAAACTGCAAATTGAGGCCCGCGCACATGGCAAAGTCGGCGCTCACGGAATGGACCAGTGCAAAGTTTTCCGGTGCGCTAAACAGATTGCCCTTGGCCTCGGTAATCTGACACTTGGGCGCAGCCAGCTGCGTATGGAGAGTCGAGATTAACAACAAAAGGTGGCACATTTCATTTGCCTCGGCTCACCTCTCTGGACACGTCGTCATGCTCACAGACGAGTATCTCAATGGGATACTCGCTGTGCGCGAATATCTGCTGCACAATGCGCTTTACTCGCTTCCAGTCGAGGCCATCGTTGCCGCAGCAGATCCGTGGCATGGCCACTTTGGTGATTTCATGGTTCCGCTGTGATTGGAATTTGATCAAATGGAATCTGATTAATTAACGCAAGCGAGTCTATATACCAGCATATATATATATGCGTGTGGTGCAAACAAATTAACTGCAAATTAACGACAAACTCGGGAATTTTCTCAATATGCGACTACTTCTATACCCTAACCAGAAGAGGTGTTAGCTTAAGCAAAGAAAACATGTCTTTCCCCTTTCTAGACTATATATATCCCTTCATCTGACTATCTGTCTCTCTATCTCTCTCTCTTGCTGTCTTAAAGGGGAGAATCATGATCTCAATATGCGACTACCTTTATACCCTAACTCGACATGTTAGAAATTGTGCCTACTTGTATCTCCCTCTTTCTAAACTGCATATATTTCTTCCTCTCTCTCCTATGTCTCTCTCTCTCTCCCATACTCTCTCTACCTTAATAAGGAGAGGCTCAATATGCGACATCTTATATACCCTAACCGAACGACGTTTTCTCGCTCTTCCTGATGTCTGTATATCCCTGCTTTCTCTGAATAAACTAATCCCTTTCTCAAACTGAAAAAAACATATGTTTCATATGAGAAAGTTCACACTCTCTCTTTCACTTATGTCTCTCTTTTTCGTTTGACATATCTCTTTCTCTATGTATGTATATTTGTCTCCCATTCTCTCTGCATATAAATATGCATTTCCCTCTGTCTCTCTCCCCCTCTTCCGTTCTCCCCATCTCTTCATATTATATCCCTATAACATCACTTGGAAGTTTTTCTCTCTCCTCTCAAATCAAATCCTCTCCCTGCCCCTCCTCTTACCATATGCTCCCTCATGCAAATCAATGCGGCTTGGACATCATCGTATGTGCTGGTCGCATAGAGATTCGACTTGGTGACCAGATGGTAAACGAATCTGGAATTGTGATCCAAGACGACGCAATTGCCGCTGGTGACGCGCCGCCGCCGCAGATCGTCGACATCGCCAAAGATGAGGGCGAACTGCCAGGCGAGGGTGCCGCGGAGTGCAGCGAAAGATGACTCAACGGCGTGCGCCAGTGCATAGTGCTGTGGGGCTTGGAACAGATCGAGTTTCGATTCGACGATTTTCACGTTCGTGCTGGCCATATTTGCCAGCTGTTGTTGTTGTTGTTGTTAACTGCAATTAAATGAAATTATTTGCGGGCTGCCTTCAATGCCAGCAACGGAATTTATTTTTGGTACTCACGCAGTGCGGAAACTTTCACGAGGCCAAACCAAAACAAAACAAAAATCACAAGTGAAAACTTTTTGTTTTTGTTTGGAGCTGAGGAACACGAACAGAACCAATGAATAATAAGAAAGCAATTAGCGTTTTTTTTTTTGGGCTTCGTTAGCAAAAGTTAGTAGCTTGTTTTAGCTGTGCTTAAGACACGCTCAGCTGCGACTGTCTCGGCTGGCGTTCTGCAGCGGAATGGAATGCGCCCGAGCGAAATCAACAACTCAAAAGCAGCCCAGAGCCACGTCCAGAGTTCGGCCCCAATTGGGGCTTTTGGATGACAACTCTGACTCAGCTTGTTGTTGCTGTTGTTGTTGTTGTTCTATAATATGCCATCATGTTGCTGATGATGACATATGATTACACACAAACAACACACACACTGTGTGTGCGTGCGTGTTTGTTATCGTTTGTTTGTTTTGTTAGAATTCGCTGTTAATTTATTATTTTTTGTTATTTTTTGGTCGAAGCTCGCATTTGCCCAAAACTTGAGCTCGTCAAGATCTTGTCGAGATCTTGGCCCTATGGCCCTATCGAGCTGCTCAGCAGATAAGACCATATTGATAGCCTTGCACCTGGCAGCGTAGGCGACGCCATAACGGTAATAGCTGGGCATATACAGGGGCACTCAAGCGAGCAATAAAAAATGTCTCGCATGAGTTGAGCTGACCCGTTCACATTTGATGTTGTTTGCATACGCAAATAGTAATGTGACTTAAATTATAATAATTTTTGCGCATAGCAGGTGAAAACAAATATTAGCACACACACACAGACACACATCGCATACAAATTACCATATTAAGTTGGACCAACAACAACAATAAAACGAGCTTTTTCTTTTGAAAGTTGTCGGTTTTGTCAATTGGCGCCAAAATGTTGTGTGCTGTGTGGTGCGTGTCTTGGCTAAGCGTGCGCTTTGCAACACTGCGCGCCTAATATAAACAAACAAAATTCGGCTCGCACAAAAACAGTTCACATAACTGCGCGATAAACTAAAAGTGCATTTAACTGTTAGTTTTTGTATAAATTAGTATTAATTGTTAACCAGTGTCCAATGTGCAAGTGACTTTTTGGTTATGCCAAGGTCAAATCAGGCTACTCTTTCTCTCTCTCTCTCTCGTTCGCTCGCACGCATTTGTACGCATGGCGCGAGCAATTGTATATAAATTTAAATTTCACTTTTCATCAATTGAGCCAATCGCCGACGCTTGGGGCACCTTGTGGAAAAGCGATAGCATCTACGATGCCGACGACGACGACGACAACGTCTCCAACTCAGTTCATGGCAGTTCAACTTGGCGCTCCGACGGAACACAACGAACACGAGAGGCGTTTGGCTACAACATAAATATAATCTATACGCTTATTGCCTGTGATTTCTTGTTGTAAACTTGCACATTGTTGTTGTTGTTGTCGTTGTCGTATTTGTTGCTGTTATAGTTGCGCCTGGCGCATTATATAAATAGTTTCTTGCGTGTAGATATCAGCTTAATATTTAGTTGTATACTATTGTGTGTTAACAGTTATACTTTACGTAGTATTTGTGTAGTTAGTTGTTGTGCTTGTCGGCGCGCAAAGAACATTCGTATTTAATACTTTGCTTGGGCAATTGACGCAAATCTCCCAACAAAGAAGAATCGAGGAAACGAACAAATCACAACTTGGAAGCGCGCTTTACAAACGGTTAAAACGTTCTGAAACAGACGCTGCTAAGAGAATAACTAAAAAGTGCAAGGCAAAAGGCAAACAACTTGAGAGCAACAGCAGAAGCCGCCGCAGCAGCAGCAATAGCAGCAGCCGCAGCAGCAGAGACGCCAGCGTCGACGTCAACGTCAGCTGTTTTGCGGCCCGCTTTGCCCGCGTGCGTTACGTAGCCGTTGACTTGATCTTCTTGTAGTTGTTGTTGTCTTACGTGTTTTCTGTTTACGTTGCCTTAACTAGTTTCTGTTTTGGGTAGTTTGTTCTTGTTGTTGTGTATTCGTATTCGTATTCGTGTTCTTGTTGTTATTGTTGTTTGCTTTAGCACTTTAGAACTTTTTGCCATATTCGCCGCAATGACATCGTTGACATTGTGCTGCTCGCGTCGTGCGGTCGCTGCCAACGCCTACGTCAACGCCAATTGGCGGTTTATTCAAACACTTCAAAGGCGCCAACAACAACAACAACAACAACAACAATTGCAATTACAACAGCAATGTAGGCGTCTCAGCGCAGCTGCAACAACAACAGCACCAAAAACCAATGCAAATAACAGCGGTAAGCGGAGACTTTATTATGCTAATTACGCGTGCAATTGTTCATTATCTATGCGTTATGATTTATATGCCTATCTCTGGCTTCCTTCTCATCACGCTCTGACAGCGAGCTGGCAACCCTGTTTGGCATTTAGAAAGCTGTCAGCTGTTTTTATAGCCTCGTCGCAACGAATCTTACGTAGTTCAACTTATATATGTATAATCGTTAATGCCACCCACGCGCGCTCTACAAAATTTTGTATATTAATCACAGATGTATAGATTTATAATTAAAACAAATGCTCTTACTATTTTTTTCTTCTTTTTGCAAATCAGCTGCCGAAACAGCAAAACGCAACAAGTGGCAGCTGTTAACATTTGAAAACATTTTTAATTCTCTAATAAAAAAAGGTGGCGTGCTTTTAATTAATAAAACGTTGTTTCTGCGCTAACTTGTATCGAAATTAATTTTGTGATAACTCTTAATAGTTCAGCGTTCTTGTCTAAAGGGGAATTATTTGCGATAAGAAACAACTCTGATCAGGGCTGCAAGAAAATTCTTTGAGCTTCGGTTTACGGCTAGAACCGGTTCCCTGGCTTAAAGTTTGGTTCGTGAAGCTGGTTTTCACATCTTTGAGCCCTGGTTTTGATTTTATCTTTGGTTTTTAAGCATTTTAAGACAATTAAATAATTAATTTGCATTTGCCCGTTGTTCTGAAAATATTGCAAACAGTAAATATTTTCATATACAAATTGCGGGCTACATTTTAAGGGGTATACGGAATATACATAGTTCTTTCATATAGCATAGTTTGTGACTTTTTACTTTACTTAAGGAATATTTTTTTTTTTTATGTATTTAAATTTTATCCAAGACAAAGGGGGAGATTTCAGATAAGTTGTGTCGAGTTAGATTTAAAACTGAAAGACCAAAAAGTTGATAACTCAACTTTTGATTCTGATTCAGAACACATGCATATATGTAAATCATATTAATTAGTAAAATAAATATATCTAAAATGCCATCCATTGCTTAGGTTAAACGAAATATAATTTTATTCTGTTAATTGCCTGACTAAACTAGAGAGAGAGAGAGAGAGAGGGAGAGAGAGAGAGAGAGAAACTTGTAGCACTTATCGAACTGGGAATGCGCATTATTCTAAATGAAATCTATAAACAAATACATGGATAAATGACAATTATACAAGTTAAACAAAAAAGTCGTTGGGTCTTGTGCTCGGTTCCAGTCCATTGCTCCAATTCGAAGCATTACTAATGACAATTTGATTGCCTAATTGAAAGCGCATTAAACACTCCAACACTTTTGTGCGGTGCTCCAAAACCCGTTCAGCTACAATTAACGTCCAATCAATTTCCCACACTAATCGAAACAGGCGCTGACAAATGGGGTACACTGAAACCCATTAATATACATTTATTTGTATATTTAAATTTATAATCTTCATAATGTCGGGGCTTTTTCAAAATTCCAAGTGCAGCATTGTTAATCTGTGGTCACATCAAATTTAACAACGGCCTCTGCATGTGATCCAGTGTTGCAAAACGTTTGAATACCCAGCCATGGAGACGATAAGGAAGCCCATTAACTTAAGGCTGATAAGATTAGGTTTGTAGGGTTATCGGCGTTATATATGATGTTTGTTCAAGACTTCTTTGTATTTATACGACATCGAACAAATTTCGCTTTCATTGTCTGAGGCTCACAGTAGATTATCTTTTTAAGTGGGCGTGGCACTTGTAAACAGCTTAACAACACTTGAGCCAAGTGAGAGACATGGTAAAAGTAAATACTCTGCGGTAAACAAAACTGTTGTCGTACATTTCCGTAATTATAGCCTGACAATTAATCAATGGACGGGCGTTGGGCACAACCCATCATCCGTCAGTCCAGCGCGGCACAGCTCATAATTAATGCATCCATGAGCTGCCATCGAAGCGTGGGCTCCATTCAACTGGATATCAAGTGAAGTTCAAGGTCATTAACGACAAAAACGCTCGAGAGACACATTCAGCTCGCGCGGCCCACACACGCGTCAGACTCGAAAATTCAAAATAAAACTGGAAATCGAAATCAGCTACGACCACAGTCGCACACACAAGTATGCGTACAGACATAGGAATAATAAATTTGAGTACATATACATGTGCATATGTATTTGGATGTGCTGCGAGCCCCCTTTGGCGTAGACAAGTAGTAAGGGGTAAACGATTAGTCGGCTGGCCGACTAGTAAATACTCTTTCGAACCGTTAATGCTGTGTCTGTCGACTTATCTGGCATAAAGATGTATAAACTATATATATACTGATATGCATAAGTCACATAGGTCGAGATAACTTCAACTTTTACATATCTAAATATAGCTATATATATGTATATACATAAATTACATATCTACATTTTCTGAAGTGAGGTTAGGTTCGTGGAACGAATCTTTGGGATTCGTTTGCTTTTCTTTGAACCATTTCATCTTATTCTTGTATATATATACATTTATTTGGAAAAACTATTTTATATGTTTTCTTAAATTTTTTCTAATATTATTTTCCTTTTTCAAATATGTCCAAGGCTTGGCTATTTTACTACTTAGTACTAGAGTACTTATTCTTTTCTTAGAGAAAAACCTATTTATTTTTTTTCAATAATATTTTCAAACAATTTGTTCCCAACAATATTTTCGAGTAATCTGTTCAGATTTAGATTTAGATTTGGCTGTTTTTTGAGTACTTCAAGTTCTGTTTAGTTTCAAAAAGAGTCCTAGTTAAGGGCGAGTATTACCCTCATCTGAGCTGATGTGACAAACGCTTTGCACAGATGTTCTCTGCTATTATTTAGGCTTACTCTATGAAACATGCAGTCCATTAAGTTGTTACACATTATGTGACAAAACTTCCCAACCCATTTCCAGTGTATAAAAGTACAAAAACAAACTATTCACACACGTCGCACCGTGCCGTATCATTGACTGAACCATTGGCACATAATATAAATCGAGGTACACACACATACATATGCATATATATATATTTATATATACTCACTGATGGGCTGATAAGTATTCCTAAACACGCTCCCGCTCTGCCCCTCTCTCTCTCTCTCTCTCTCCCTCCCTCCCTCTCTGAGGAATTTCGGGCTTTGCAAAAAAAAACAAAAAACAAAACAATAAACATTGCTGCCGCCTTCTCTCCCTCCCGCTCCCTCCCCCTCTCGCTCTGTCTTCCTGCTGTTTCTAACTGAACTGAGCTCTCCAGAGATCTAGCACTATGTGTCGCTGAGAATTTGCTAGATTAATTAGAGCTATGCCGCCTAGGGCAGCTCCAGGCCGAAACAGTCGCATAGTCGCCGCGTAACTGGCCGCACATAGGAACTCCCTCAACTTGTGTCTGGGGCAACTTTATTGTTTTTGATATTCGACTGGTTTTTGTTTTGTAGAACTTGCCATCTTATCGCGTAACATGTCGTCGTCTGTGTCGTCGCCCAAACTGGTCGCTGTCGAGGAGTCGCGTCGCTTTATGATCGACTGCTTCACGGCCGTGAAGGTGCCCGAGGCGCATGCGCGTGCCCAGGCCGATCTTCTGGTGGCGGCCGACTATCGTGGCCACTTTAGCCACGGTATGAATCGGCTGGAGATGTATATCAATGACCTGGCCATTAATTCGACAAACGGCGGCGCCGAGCCGAAGGTGCTAAAGGAAACCCCGGCAACGGCCTGGGTGGATGGCTGCAATGGACTGGGCGCTGTGGTTGGCAACTTTTGCATGGATCTGGCCATCAAGAAGGCCAAAACCGTGGGCATTGGCTGGGTCTGCAGCAGGGGCTCCAATCATTACGGCATGGCCGGCTGGTATGCGCTGAGGGCCATGGAAAATGGCCTGGTAGGCATGTCCATGACAAACACGTCCCCGTTGATGGCGCCCACCGGCGCCAAGGAGGCGGCGCTGGGCACCAATCCGCTCTCGCTGGGCGCCCCGGCTGGCGACTGTGATCACTTTCTGCTGGACATGGCCACCACCGCGGTGGCCGTGGGCAAGATCGAGATACAGAACCGCAAGGGCGCGCCGCTGCCCGACGGCTGGGCCCAGGATCCCGATGGCAATGTGACTAACGATGCCAAATTGGCGTTCGCCACCGGCTGCCTGCTGCCGCTGGGCGGCACCGAGCTAACCTCCGGCTACAAAGGCTACGGCCTGGGCGCCATGGTGGACATACTCTCCGGCGTCATGTCCGGCGCCAAGTACTCGACGCAGGTGCGCAAATGGACGCACACGGGCGCCAACACAGCCGCCGATCTGGGCCAGCTTTTCGTTGCCATCGATCCCAATTGCTTTGCGCCCGATTTCGAGGAGCGCATGAAGGACTTCAACTCGCGTCTGCGAGGCGCCAAGCCGGTAAGTCTGTCCAGCTGCTGGAAGGACAACTTCCGGCTAACAATCTCTACTCTACCATCCCCATAGACCGATCCCAACAAGCCCGTGCTGCTGGCCGGCGACAAGGAGTCGAGGAACATGAAGGCCGTCGACGAGGCGGGCGGCATCCAGTATTTGGAGAACCAGCTGAAGACCTGCGCGGCCCTGGCCGAGAGGCTCAACATCAAGCCGCTGAGCTTCAAGTGAAGAGGAGCAATCATATCTGGAAACACACACATATGCCATAAAATAAAGCTGCTTTTGCATTTTTCTTGACCAAAGGATTTGACTAGTGCCTAAGTTGAGAACAGTTAACGTTAACGCCCTAGACTCTTTGATATATATACAAATATACTATATATAGATTATGATATTATGTTTTGCAAAGCTAATAAAACTAGACTTGAATTATATTTGTAATTTTTGTTAATATATATATAATATATACGATATTAGGTGATTTAGTTATTTAAAGCTGAAAAGTGACAACTAGACTTTTCGATTACATTTCCACGCTTATTTCACGATCCGAATATTCAAACGACAATAGCCTTTAGATTCGATTAAAGCCTAAGTTGAGAACAGTTGAAGATATACACTCCAGACTCCGATAATACGTATATATTGTGATATATATTGTATTGGGGCTATTCCATTGGGTTATTCAAGGCCGTAGCTCTTAACTAGTCAATTCCACTCTTATTTCACTCGTTTTTGTTTCTTTTGTATTTCTCTAGATTTAATTAGTGCCAAAGTTGAGAATAATTAACGATACATAATATATATTATCATATTAGGTTATTCCAGGCTGTAGCTGACCAATAGACATATCCACTCTTATTTCACTCGACAAGTATTCACTCGTTTAGTTGCTTTTGTATTTCTCTAGATTCGATTAATGCCCAAGTTGAGAACAGTTAAAGATATATGCTCCAGACTCTTTGATAACATATTTGTTGATATTGGGTTATTCAAGGCTAGTATGTGGCCCTTTACTAGACATTTCCACTCATGTTTCACTCGACAAATATTCGCTCATTTAATTGGTTTTCTATTTCGCTAGATTCAATTTGAGAACAGTTAACGATATACACTCCAGACTTAGATATTATATATATTATGCTATTGGGTTACTTGGGTCTAATAAATAGCTTTTGGCTAGACTCTTGAATTACATTTCCACGCTTATTTCACGAGTCTTGTGAGCAGGATAGCGAGTCTTTTGGCTAATCGCTTTTCTTTTCGGGATTAAGGTTACATTTGCTGCCGCATAGCATCTTAATGGTGTTCACCGCCTGCCTCTGGGCATCTTTGCCGGCAGTTGCCGAGCCCTTGGTGACGCGCAGCTTGAAGAAACGGCATTGGGTATCGAAGAGCAGCGGCACCTTCTCCAGGCAGGGTTTGACGTGCATGGCGGAGCGCAGCTCCTCGGCATTGTCGGTCTTGCTCATGGACTTGATGAAGTCGATGTGACGCTGATTCTCCTCGGTCAGCTTGCGCTTCTCCTCCAGCAGCAGCAAGTTCTGGGCCTGGGCCACGGCCTGTTGGCGCCAAAAGTTCTTCAGGCCGTTGCTGAGCATGACCAGATCCTCCTCGGTGAGATCGACGTGCTGTTTGATGTCCAGCGTTTGCAGCGTAAAGTTATCATCAACAGGGCCCACATCGATGGGGTCAACTACCTCGCCGCCCACAATGATCTTCTCGGACTCCGTTTGCAGCTTCCGGCACGTGATGGACAGCGCGAGCAGCAGCTCGCCGCTCTTCACGATCTTCTCGAATTTCTGGCAAAGTAGGCGAATGAATGCGTATGTCTTGTCTGTGGAAAGTGGACTGTACCTTGGTCAGCTCGTAGCACTCGGTGCTGAGTATACGCAGCTTCTCGTGCGTGGTTATGCGATCCGCATGCATCCGATCCTCGATCTTCTTGCGCACATTCGTAAAGTACTCGAACTCGAGGCGCAGATCGTTGATGGTCCCATTGTTCTGTGTCTCGATGCGCAGCGTGTCGCTCTGGATATCGCTCAGCATGATGCTATACTTGGCCTCCTCAACGTTCAGCTTCTTGCTCTCCTCCACGAACGCCTGCTGGCGTTCCGTCAGCGAACGGATGCGCTCGTACTTGTGGGCATCCAGCTCGGTGCTGTGCAGGGCATCCACGAAGTCGTTCAGCTGGCGCTGCATGTCGTTCATCTTGCTGACGACCTGGTCGCGTATGTCGAAGCGACGCTCGATCTCACGGTTGACATTGTCGTCGCGCTGCTCCTGATAGATCTGATAGTCCTCCTTGAGCTGGTCGCGCGTGAACAGATTGGAGGCATGGATTATGTTCTCGCTGTTCGTATGCATCGCCTCCACTTCCTCGGTGCGCAGATGCACCTCGTCGTAGAACTCCTTGAGCAGATCCTCGGCCTGCTGCTCGTACATGCGCTTGTTGCCGTCCAGCATGGCCTGGTAGCACTCGCTAATGTGATCGATCAGCTCCACGGTGCGGCCATAATTGCGCGCATGCTGCTCATTGGTCTGGGCGATATCGTCGATCAGCATTTGGATGTGATCGTTTTTATGCTCAAAAATTCGCTCGGCGCGCTCGCCCCAAGTGATTATCTCGTTGCGCAGCTCGACTATTTTGATCTGCTCGGCAATGGAGTTCCATTCCTCCATGCCGCGCAAATCCATGCGCTTGCCCAGCTCCAGCTCCGTCTCCAGATCATGCTGCGGGCATTTCAACAATTAGCATGTCTCTCTCTCTCTCGCTCTCCCTCTCTTTCTCTCTCTCTCTCTCTCTCGCGACAGAGTGAGATTGAGCTCTACTTACGCGCATGATTAGCTTCTGGTCGGCGATTTTCTGCAGGCGCTTTGCCTCTTTGCGCGCCGCCTTCTTTTGCGCCTTGGTCGGTGGGCGTGGCTTTGCCGCCTCCTCCATTTCCTCGAGCGCATCTTCCAGATACGTTTCCGTAATACGCGTTATGCGTATTTCCGGGACGACTGTCGACATCTCGTTTTGAGTTTAAAATGATTTTTACTAAAAATAAAAGTATTTCAATTGTTTCGCTCTGTGTCTGACTGTACCGAAAGCTCCCCACTGCTGGGCTTCATGTGACAGACGAGGCAAAGCTCACTGCGGACCGTTACACGTGCTCGACGTTTGCCAACACTGCCGAGCACGAACTGGAGCTGGGCGCCAAACGTAAAGCTCGCTCCCGCGCAGCATCTCCGGAGCAGCTGAGCCGCGACTTTTGCGCCAGCCAAGTTAGTAGACGTCGAGAGCTGGCCAAGCGCGGTTGTTTCGTTAGCAGAAGCAAGGACTACAAGGACCATAAACAAGCCACTCACTAAAGGCACGCCGTGCCTTCACTGTGTGTGTGTGCGTGTTTTGCTTTTTTTTTCCCGGCTGCGCCTTGTAAACAAAAATAACTTTGCTTGTTGTGACTGTGTGCGCGCGTGTGTGTGTGTGTGTGTGCGCGTCGCCCTGGTGGTGGCTAACAACCCCCAGCAAGCACGGAGCACAACTACAAAGCTCGAGTGGCAAGGGCAGATCCAGCAAAGTTTTCGGGGTTGCAGACAGTTGGCAAACAAGCTGCGAATATACGTTTAAATACCCATAAATATAAAACGAAAATAAAATAGAAACAATATTCAAATATTGCGACGCCAAAATGAGCGATACAGGCGCACCCAATGGCTATCAGAAGCTGCCGCCCGGCTGGGACTGCAAATACGATCAGACGACGGGCAACTGGTAAGCAGCTAGCGGAAACCTCATAAACATTTATGCATGCAATGCAAAAAAAAAAAAAACCAGCATACCGAGCGTTGAAATGTTGCATGTCTGGGCAAGATGGAATGGCTGAGTGGGTGGGCGGGGGGTCGTTTTCTAACACTGTGCAGTTTTGCAGTGCGAGTTTACAATGTAAACATTTTTCGTTGCATGCTTTTAGGCGGCGGCTATTAAAAATATGCCATGGCGGCTTGTTGCGGCAAATTGATTGCTTTGAGCTCGTTAAATGTACAGAGTCTTTAAATAGCACGACATTTTAAGAGGCGTATAAAACATTAGCGTATACATCTACAGCATTTCTATAGCAAGCGCTTAAAAAGTTTTCTTTACGCAAGTTTAAGAACTTGCATACAAAGTTAAAGCATACTTTCAGGCGGCACCTTTTATTGTGCTATGCAAATTTGAAGCCATGAATTGCTATTCATTATGCTAAAGACAACACTCGAGCACAAAGCAGCCGCTAGGCCAATTGGCCTCATTTTCCGCCCAATGCAGCAGCAGCTACTTGCGTCTCCTCCAGATATGCTTGCCCGTGCAATTAAGCAGCGACTGTCATACGTTGGAGCTGAAGTGGCCACTTGGCTGGAGACGAGACGCCAGCAGAGACGGCAGCAATCACAGCCCACAGATTGGCTGTCAAATGTGAGCTGCTGCCTTCTGCCTTCTGCCTTTTGGCAGCTACTTGGCACGTGTCGCTGTTTAAAGGCACCCTTTACCTATGCCAATTTGCCGTAAATGTGTGCCAAGAAATTCACCACCAGACGGACAGACAATCAACCCCATTTAACGACCGTTTGGTTGTCATTTGTTATGAACTTGCAGCTATTACATAAACTATCTGACCAAGGCCATGCAGCTGGAGGATCCGCGCGCCGGGCGCAACAGCTACAAGCAGCTGCAAAACGAGCGCTGCTCCACGGAGTCCATTCCGCTGCAGGTGAGTGTCGGTTGGAACCCCTCATCTGGAGGCATCTAATCATCCACCCCTTCAATCAGCACATGGCACAGAGCTCACATCACAGTTCACCCTATCACGTTGTCCATCCCAGCAATAATCTGACCGCTGTGCGTGCCTTCCAGGAGCGCGAACGCGGCCAGCAGCCCGCACTGCACAATCTGTCGACGAGTCCGCTGCTCTCCGCATCCTCGCGCGCCCAACTGGTAGGTCGAACCAACTACAGCTCGCAATTGATGACGTTTTTTTTCAACTGGTCTTATTTGCAGGAAATGTCCTCGCCACTGCCCCTGCAGCGCGCCCGCCTGGCCTCGAACATGTCGCGTCGCTCCACAATCCAGGAGACATCGTTCAGCCATCAGAGCGAGAGCCAAGCGGTGGTCACCAAAATACAGAACATGTTTCCCACCGCCGACGAGAATCACATACGCTTGCTATTGAAACGGTGAGACATGCCTCATAGTTTGGTTCTCTCCAGCTGCCTTTTGAGCTCGTTAATCCCCTTTTGGCTAATGCTCTGTACAAATGTATCTCTATCTTTCAACACACGCTGCCGCCGCTTATTGCACCCACTCACATGCTTACTAACCTCCCCCACGCCCACTAATTCCCCCTTAACAGCTACTATAATCGCGAGGCCGTCGTCATCAGCGCCTTGCAGGTGGAGAAGCATCCGGTTACGATGCCCGGTCCGTTTGTGACTCCGCCCGCCCAGCGGCATTTGTTCCACAGCAATTCCGCTTTCTATATGACACCACCGGCGCGTCGCCCGGACATGGGCGCTAGCCGGATAACCGTTACGTCACGCACGGCCAGTCCCCTGCCCGGCGGCCGCTTCGGTAGTCTCATGAGCATGCAAAGTGGCCCCGGACAGCACATAGCCGCAGCAGCAGCAGCAGCGGGCATCATGCCGCCGCCCGCCCTGCACGGCTCGCCGCAGTGGCGCAGCTCGCCCAAGCCGCACTCGTCGCCCAAAATGAAATTGAGGTGCTTTTTTGTTATTCAGATCAAAGATTTGACTTGCCAGGCAATTAGCTAATTGAAATTGACAGTTTTCATTTTGTTGTTATTTATTTGTTGGCTTTCGAAGGCGCATTTTGTGTTATTCGGCCTTTTCTGTTAACATTTGATGTTATGTTATTGCCAACTGATAAGCTTCATCTGCTAGCTGTTATGCTAAGGTGAATCTGTTAACGACAAGTCATATTATCTATGTTATTTGTCAATCATATGTTAATATATTTTATTAAGTTACCGAATCAATTATTCCCGTATCTTAAATTTAGTTTGCATCTCTTCTGTTAAGTTAACTTCATTCTCTTAACTTCACTCTGGTAACGGTTACTGTTAATTGACATGTTAATGTATTTTATTGAGTTACCGATTCGCAAAATATTTATATTTTTTATATTTTCATTTGTTAATCTTTAACGTCACTCTGTTAATTACAAATGTTTATTGACATATTCATTTATTATATTAGGTTGCCGATTCTCGAATTTACGGTTTCTTTTTACTTATGTTAACATAAATCTGTTAACATAAAATGTTATTTAACATATTCATGGATTTTATTAAGTCTACGTTTTTATTTCCAGTTATGTTCGAATAATAATTTATTTGTTAATGTATTTTATTATGTTGCTTCTTCGTGCTAATATTTTGTGTTATGTTAACGTCACTCTGTTAACGTCAAATGTTAATGGATTTTTTGATTAACAGTGCAGATGTTCCTTTTTTAATCTCGGACACGTATTTTGCAAGCTAGCTTCTCTTAAGCACAAAGCACCATAGCTTTTTATTCTCGCAGCTTTTAAGTCCCGTTTTCATCTGCCCCTAGATACATGAAGAACATATTCCCCAAGGCAGATGAAATGCTGCTGCTCGACATTCTGGCCAATGCGGACAACAATGTGCAGTTCGCCTCGGAGAAGCTGATCTCGCTGGGCTATGCCAAACGCGACATGCAACAGCCGCACAGGCCCAACAATCGGCCGCCGCACCTGGACGCGGACCAGAAGTCGGGCAACGAGCAGGGCGTGCAGCACATACCGCTGCGACCCAAGGAGTACACCGCCGAGCAGAAGACAGACAGTGAGCGCCAGTTCCTGATTTTCTTTCCAAATTCCTGACGCTCCTTTCTCTTACAGTGGAGGCGCTGTTCAAGGAGCGATATCCTCAGATAGCTGAGCGCATCATCTTGATGGCCCTGGAGTCGGTCAACTATGCAGAGGATCGTGCCATGCAAATACTGCAAATTGTGCAGGACGAGGACGAGCAGCGCAGCCAAAAGCACGCGCTGCCCAAGTCCAGTGCCACGGACAGCGCCCTGACGCTGCCAGTGGACCAGGTGGACGCGGCTGCCGCACACAGGTGCGTACGGACAGGTTGAGCCAGCCCAGTTGCTGTTGCGGCACACGCTCATCCCGCACGGTGCTCCTCCTCTCGCCTTTGCTGCCGTTGCTTTAGCCGTTTTGTTAATCGATTTTGCCTATTTTCTCCGTAATACTTTGTTGCTGCCTCACACACACACACACATACACACATTTGCTTACCTGCCCTCATTATCATCGCCTTGAAGAGCAGCCGCTGCAGCAGCAGCAGCAGCAAGCCACATAAGCTACATCGCCATTTGCCATCCATCAATGTCATCACACCCACCGCGGCCACCACACAGATCATCCTCAGCCATTCGGCCACGCCCACGCCGGAGTCGGAGCCGAAGGCCGCAAACATTTCCGGGGCATCTACGCACTCATATGCCTCACCTGCACAGACACCCTATGAGCGCCTGACCACCAAAAATATGCTCGCGCGTTCTAGTTGCTGCAACAACAACAACAACGACAACAACAGCAGCAGCAGCAGCAACAACAACAATAACAGCAATGCCAGCAGCTATTCCTCGTACACCACATCCATGGGCTCCTCAACCGCTTCGGCCGGCTCCATAGCGAAGGCATTTGAAAGTCGCGCGCGCACCAAAACCGATTCACTGAAGTATGCCCGTTACCGTTAACCGTTAACCGTTATTTATGTACAGTTGCGCATGCTTTGAAAAAGTCCGTTAGAGAAGTTTGCTGCACGTGTTCAGCTTTTCATTTCCCTGTTTGGTTTTTCTTTTGGGCATGCAAAACATTTTTCATTTACCCGGAAGTATATATATATATATAAATGTGTGTGTAAATCTAAGCGATTTTTTTGTATACATTTCGTTTTATTTCTCGCAGACAGCGACAGCACTCGGCGCACCTGGACAATGGGCACAATTTAGATGCCGGCGAGTTCCAATCACTCATCGCACGGATGGCCACGCTTGGACCCAATGCGCAGCTGGCCAAAGGCGCCGACGAGAAGCTATTGCTGTAAGTTAAACCCAGTTATACGCCGGGCTGAATACCTAATAAGTTGTCAAAACACAGCGCTGATTATGTCACCTGGAACGGCCCGAACACAACGCTCAGCCCAAAGCAGGCGGCACAAGGCGCCGATCCGGGCCTGCTGGCCGGCGAGCGTAGCTATAAGCCGGCCGGCAGGAATCCGGAGCTGTGCAAGGGCGCCAAAAAGGAGCTGGCCAAGGGCAGCATCTATGCGCAGGGCAAGGGCGCCAACATCAAATGCAACTAGGAGAAAGGCAGCCGGATCCCCAAGCGTGCCAAACCCCGGACTTCAGCTTTTATATGTCGTCTAACAATTTGCTCTCCATGTGTTCCCGTACTATACTATATTCAAAAAGCACACACACACACATATTCCATCCAAAATCCAATTATTCATACAACTTTTCTATGAACAAACTTTGCAGCTTGAAATACATGAATATTTAAAACTAACTTATTTAGAGACTATATTTAAGTTTTGGCTAAACTTCGTCCTCGTTCAGCAGCATATTGGGAATGCCGTCGGCAATGGGAAAAATGCGTCCCGTCTCGGGGCACTCCAGCTGACCCTCGAGCACATCGATTTCGAACAGCAAATGATGCAGTCTCTGCAGCAGCTGCTCATTCTCGGCTATGTTCTCCGGCTGGGCAGCGGGTATATCTTCGGCTAGCTCCGCCTGGTTAAGAAATTTAGATGTTATGGAATTTGCATGGAATTTCTGGCTGGGAATCAGTACTGCGCATTTCACTTACCACCTGGGCGGCGCCGTAGACGGCTGACCAGTCCAGCTTGGGCAGCAGTCGTTCTATGAAGACCGGATTAAATTCGCTCTCGATGACGTCCTTTTTGTTAATCTAATTTAACGATTTAAATTTCCGTCTTGAAACAATCAATAAAAGTTAAAGCGAGGCTTACCGTCAGCTTCAGTGGGTAGCCAACCTTGACGCCCTTGATGGCCATTGATGTCAGAAAATTGTATGTGCTTAGTTTCATGGTGTATCCTTAAAATATTATATATATTTAATGACAATACTTTAGTTCATTTAAATAACAACAAATGCGGTATGCGAAATGCACGTTTTCAGCATTCACTTGGCAACGCGGGCGCAACAGCTGTTAGTTCGCTGCCGTACGTTGGTCACACTGCGAAAATATCGATAGCATGCTATCGCTGTTCACAACAGTTGAGCGATACGTTTAGTCGCTGCCTGCAAAACGATGTGACCAGTCGGCAGCACAACACAAGAGCAAGAGCAACAACTGCTGCAATTTTACAGGCTAACAACGTTTATAAATGTAATTAAAGTGCAATTTGTGGTCTAAACATTGTTAAAGTATATAATAAACATTTGCAGTGCAGATATGGAGGACATTTTCCACTGGTGCCGCGAGGGCAACTCAATTCAAGTGCGCCTCTGGCTGGATGAGACCGAGCATGACATGAATTTGGGGTAAAAATAGTTGAAATGCTTTTAAATCACAACAATTACGTCTAAGTCCAACTGGTTTATGTGTTAATATTAATAATTGTGTGCCTTTTGCTATATTTGAAAAACACATTGCCCATAAACCAATTGGGACGGAAAGTGTCGTCGCAGTGACGTCATGATTTATTCTTGTGTTGTGTAAACAACCTGCACCCATGCAAACGAAACTTATGCTTGCGCGTGTGTGTGTGTGTGTGTGTGTGCTCGTCACTCTCTGTCTCTCTCCCTCTCTCTCGCAGTGATGATCATGGCTTCAGCCCGTTGCACTGGGTCGCCAAGGAGGGGCATGCCAAGCTTGTGGAGACGCTGCTGCAACGCGGCGCTCGCGTGAATGCCACCAACATGGGCGATGACATTCCCCTGCATCTGGCCGCCGCCCACGGGCATCGCGATGTTGTGCAAATGGTGAGTATTGCATGTTAATTGATGTACATTAAGATACCCTATAAATTGTTTTGATAACAGTTGCTGCGTGAACGCTCAGATGTGAATGCTGTGAATGAGCATGGGAACACACCGCTGCATTATGCCTGCTTCTGGGGCTACGATATGATATGCGAGGATCTGTTGAGCGCCGGCGCTTTGGTGAGCATTGCCAACAAGGATGGGCACACGCCCATCGACAAGGCCAAGCCCAGTCTGGGCAAGCGCATACAAGATCTGGCGGAGAAAAGCGGCCAGGAAATGAAGGTCATCAGTTTCAAGGAGCAGAGCTGGCTGGGCATGAAAACCCGCTCACGAGACGCCACCTTGTCGCGCTTCAAGGGCATCAGCATGGGCGATTTGGACCTGCACACGAAGATTTCGGTGACGCCCTCCGGGGAAACGTGGCGCGGCCGCTGGCAAAAGAACGATGTCATAGCCAAGGTGGGTGGAATGCAGCTTATCAGCATTTGTCTAACCAGCTGTTTGATTTGCCCGACAGATTCTCGTCGTGCGGCAGTGCACGTCGCGCATCTCACGTGACTTTAACGAGGAGTTCCCGAAGCTGCGCATCTTCTCGCATCCCAACATTTTGCCCATCATTGGCGCCTGCAACTCGCCGCCCAATCTGGTGGTCATCAGCCAGGTAGGTGTCGATTGCTAGCCACCGCTTGGACTCCCATCTCAAATCCCAGTCCATTTGCAGTTTATGCCACGCTCTTCGCTGTTCAATCTGCTGCATGGCGCATCGGGCGTTGTGGTGGACACCAGCCAGGCCGTGAGGTTCGCCTTGGACATTGCACGCGGCATGGCCTACTTGCACTCGCTGGAACGGATTATACCCACATATCATCTGAATAGTCATCATGTTATGATCGACGACGATCTGACCGCTCGCATCAATATGGGCGATGCCAAGTTTTCGTTCCAGGAGAAGGGCCGCATCTATCAGCCCGCCTGGATGTCGCCGGAGGCGCTGCAGCGAAAGCCAGCGGATCGCAACTGGGAGGCGTCCGACATGTGGAGCTTTGCGGTGATCATCTGGGAGCTGACCACGCGTGAGGTGCCCTTCGCCGAGTGGTCGCCCATGGAGTGCGGCATGAAGATTGCGCTCGAGGGCTTGCGTGTCAAGATACCGCCCGGCACCTCGTCGCACATGGCCAAGCTGATATCGATATGCATGAACGAGGATCCCGGCAAGCGGCCCAAATTCGATATGGTTGTGCCCATACTGGAGAAGATGAACTCCAGCGCAGTCAAAAATTAGTGGAAATCGTTGCAACGAAATTTTACAAAGCCAAAATGTGCCTGTTTACAAAAAGTGTGTAGCTAAAAAGTGGAGCGAAAGGACGAAAGCTCGTAGGATGTGTTTTGCCAACTAATTATAATAACTACTTTGTGTTTATTTACTGAGACTTAACCGAATCTAACCGACACCGCAAGTGCCTAAAATCTGCAGTATATTTACGCCATTTTGAAAATTTCTACAGGTAAAGCTTTTAAGTTTTCATTTTTGTACTCTCTCCCTCTTTCCCTCTCCTCTTTCTCTCTGTGTAGTCTTTATATGTTTTGTGTCCTGTTCATGTTTTGTTCTTATGAATTTTGATAATGTCTAGACGGTGCTCGATTTTGTATTTGTTTAGGTTGGAATATTACATATTACATTAACAGTTAAGCTTTTAAAGTACGTATTTATACAGCATATATATTTGTTACTAATGATTAAACGAAATTTGTGTACCTACAAACAAAATGAAAATTCGTTAAATGCTGTGCCAAGCATTCTTTGGGCAAGCTCTCTGCAGCTTTTACCGCTAAAAAGCAAAACAACGAAAGCTGCCTTGGCGTGTGTGTGTGTGTGTGTGCCATTGTGTGCGTGCGTGAGTGTGTTTGTGTGTGGTGGTGGGTAGTCAGCGTGAGCAAAACGGCCCTGACCTGATTTCTATTATGTGCACGCCATGCTGCAGCGCGTGGGCAGAGCAGCAGCAGCAGAGCAATGCAGCGAGAGAGGGAGAGAGAGAGAGAGAGAGAGAGCCGGCGAAAGCGCGCAGCTGTGAGAACGCAAACTTTTCAGAATTATGCACATGTGCGTGCATTTATAAAACATTACGTTTGAATATTTAAATTATTTATTAAATTAATCAATATCAATTAAAATATGACCGCACTTTTTTCTTACCGCAGCAAGGTTGTAATTAACGCTTGCCGCTCTCGCTCACTCTCACTCTCCCTCTCTTCGCCTCTTCGCCTTGTCGGCATTGACTACGGCTCTCTGTTTATGTTTTTGCGGCACCGTTATATATTTGCAGCGGCTGCTGTTGCTGTTGTTGTTGCGGCGAGCTTAAACCATGTGATTGTTTTGCTGGCTCGCTCTTCGTTCAACGGCATATCCTGTGCCTGCGTGCGTGTGTGTGTACGTGTGTGTGTATGCCGCTGCAGCTTTAAAAACTTTTTGCTGCATTTTGTTGTCGTCGTCATCATCGTTGCCGTCGCAGTCGCTGTCGCTGTCGCTGTCGTCGTGCTTTTCGGCCCAGAGGCTGGTCGCTCGGTCTCCAAACGGCAGCGGGCAACGCTGCAGTGTCCAAAAGCCGATTTACAGTTTTACAGTTTTATATGCCAGTTATGAGTGCAACCAACAAACAGCGACCGCATTTCCGCAATGGCGAATCCCTCACATGGGCAAAGTGTGTTGTAAAACGAGTGAATTTTCAATATATCAACTATAACCCATAATTCAAATAACAAAAAGGAAAAGTTAAGAACAAAAAGCAGTTCGAAAAATATCAAAAAAAAAAGAAGACAATTCGCTTCAGCAAATTGAAATCGCCGCAGTGAAAGTGCAGAGAAAAAATTGCATGGCATCTTTTAGGCGCAGCGCATAAAAGTTTCCGGCCGACGATTGGATCTTTGTGTTTTTCTTTTCGGTTCTCTCGTTGTTGTTGTTGTTGTTGTGTTTGGACCCCTCGGCGCACAGGCAGCAGCTGTTTAAATGTATTTTAGTGCTTGCCACCAACAGCGGCCAGCCCCCTTGAGGGCCGGCAATCCATGGAGTATTCAAACTCAAAGTGTTTGAATCATAACGAGCCACAGCAACAACAACACGAGCAACACGAGCAGCAAACCAGGCAAGTGCTTAAATATATATTTATGTATTTGTGCCCCATTTTGTATGGCCACACCTGAGCATTTCTTTTTTTTTTTTTAATTAACAAAACAATTGCCCAGGCACGAGTGCGGCAGCAGTCACGAGTCTTTTGTGTCGCGTTCTGTGTGCTCACATAATTCCAAATTTTTCAGCATCCAGGAGCTGCTGCTGCTGCTGCTGCTGCAGTTGCTCCACATCATTCATTTG